GCTTCTTAGGAAAAGGAAAGGACTTTGTCTATTTAGCTTTCTCGAAGATTCCTAGCTTTAAACTAGGTTATTGAATCCTGTTCAAAGATAAGAGGTATACGAGATTTGTAAAATAAACCTTCCTAAGGACTTACAAAATCTCAACTTACGTAGCTGGATGCAGCATAGCATGTTCTTGTCCTCTCTTTGCTCTTCTTCTGCCAGGCTCTGGAGTCCTTCAGCACCTGAATTTCTTCCCATATGCATGCAGCTCAGTCACAGGTTGATGACAATAGACTCTGTATTATGCATAGATGTGGCTAAAGCTGGATTCAGATCTTGGTTTTATCCCCAGCTGAGAAGTCACATGACCACTATGAGCCCCAGTTCCTCATCTATAAGTCTGTGCTAAGAATATTGACTTTATAGTGATGCTGGGAGAATTTGCTAAGAATCTGGACATGTAGACCAAAGTAGTTTCTCAATAAATGTTCATAGGATGTTTGATACATATTTAAAACTCCACTGTCTAATGTTCATACATATACATGGGTATGTATACACATATATAAACATGGGCTTTAGAACAAGAAGGTCTGGGCTCAACAGCCGGTGCTACCACTTATTAGCCAAATGATGGCAGAAAATTCATTCAACTTCTCTGAGCCTCAAAGTAGGCATCTACAAAGATCACAATAACATTAATAACTCCCAGAGCTGATATGAGGGTCAAATGGGATAGTATATTGAAATGTTTTATAAACCTTCGAGTTAAAAAAATTGTAATCTGACTTTTTGTAATTGTGCATTGTTCTCTCAGTGCTTCATCCAGTTAAGCTTTGCCTCTACAGCAGGAGTCAAGGTCTTCTTGGTTGGACCCATGATGATTTTTAACATGAGCCTCAGTGCAGAGATGCTGTGCAATAAGAATTTGCTGAGAGTCAAATTCACAATGAGATTATCACCTCCCTCTTGTTAAAATGGCTATTATCAAAAAGACAAGAGATAACAAATACTGGTGAGGATATGGAGGAAATGGAACCCCTGTGTTGACTGACTTATAACTAGTGTAGCCACTATGGAAAATAGTATGGAAGTTCCTCAAAAACTGGTTATATATCCAAAGAAAATAAAATCAATATTTGTTACAGATATCTGCATTCCCATGTTCATTGCAGCTTTATTCACAATGGTTAAGCAAGGATATAACATAAGTGTGTTTTCACAGATAAATGGCTAAAGAAAATGTCATATATATGTGTAAATACACATATACACACAATAGAATATTATTCAGCCATAAAAAGAAGAAATCCTGCCTTTTGCAATACCATGGATGGAACTTGAGGGAGTTAGGCTAAGTGAAATAAGTCAAACAGAGAAATACAAACACTATATGATCTTACTTACATGTGGAATCTAAAAACGCTGAATCTGTAGAAACAAAGTAGAGTGGTGATTACCAGGGGTTAGAGGGGTGGAGGAATTGGGGAGCTACTGGTCAAAGGGTAAAGACTTCTAGGTATAAGAGTAACTTCTGGGGATGTTATGTACAGCATGGTGACCATAGTTAACAATATTGTATTATACACTGGAAAGTTATTGAGAGGGGAAGGAGGGGTTAACCTTATCATGGTCATCATTTTGCAATATATATGTATCAAATCATGTTTTATACCTTAAACTTATATACCATATTTTTTGGACTATAAGACACACTTTTTTACCACATTTTTTGCTTCAAAAAATTTCCCCTATTTTCCTCCTCTGTTGCGCGTGGGTCACCGGCCAGCAGTGACCACGGAACGCTATGGATGGCTTGACGATAAACACGCGAGAAAAAACACACATGCACAGAGACAAACTAGTTTCTGTGGGGAAGTAGGGACGAAATGGCCACCCCCCCTAGTGGGGAGCGCGCTGACTTACCGTCCATACCTGCTTTTATTGGGCTCATTTTGCATAATAATTCAGGTAAAGTACAGTACTCATTAGGGGAAGTAAGGAACTATAGAAAACAAAGAACTCTGCCGGTCTATTGAGTTGGGGGGTCAAAGAGCTGTAAGACTGAGGAACAAACTAACTTCCTCCTAAGACCCTTCTCATTCAACTGAGAGCATTCTAAACAAAGAAGGTTTCACAGTAATTTACATGTTCTTTCTTAGGCCTGATCACCCCGGGGAATCCGCACTTCTCAGTACCGAGCTGTACCACCCTGTCATTGTTTCAGGCTTAGGTGGAGCAAGGGAACTAGGTAACCAAGAGATAAGGAGATTTTCTCCCAGATGCTGAGAACTCAGGCTATGTCAAAGCCGAGGAGCGAGGGTCCATCATCCCCTTTTGCTGCAGCCCCCCAAGTCCTTCTTTTGGGGGGCCTCCCAAAGTGATCGTGCCTGGCTTAGGTCGTTCCCCCCGTGGGGAATCTTACCCATCTTTGGCTAACCGACCAAGCTTTTTGGGGTTCAGTTATGAATAAAGCAGCATAAGCAGCACTCCTGCCAGGAAGATAAGCTTTTATCTCCTTGCTGGCTTACAGTTCCAAGGGTGTTCCCTTAGCCTTAGCTAGGCGGGGGTTTCAGCCTCTGATACCAGTCAGGGTGGTTCCCAACACTCCTCTAAAACCTAGGTGCATCCTAGGTTTTAGAGGAGGAAAATAGGAAAAAATTTTGAAGCAAAAAATGTGGTAAACAAGCACATCTTATAGTCCAAAAAATACGGTAGTTCAAAAGTATCTCAATAAAGCTGGAAAAAATAATTTACTGATGTTGTGAACAATGAACATGGAAGGACTTATTGCCCAGCTGTAAAGGGTGGTGAGCAGCCCCCTGCAGTTGTCAGCTCCCTCAGCATTAGCCTCGAAAACATACTACCTAATTTACCTTCCCAGAGGCAGCTTGCTTCTGGTGACTGAGCCAAGTGGAATATAAAGGCCTAGACATTTTGACAAGACCATTTTACCTCTCAGAGCTCCAGGGTAGGGTGGGCTGAGGTTGTTGGCCCCACCTAGCTGCTTTGCCTCTACCTCTCTTCCTTTCCACAGATGCTGATCCTAAGAGGCTTCCAAAGGGTACCCTGCAGAGTCAACTCCTCTCAGAATCTGAATCTTGGAGAACCCAGCCTGTGACATGGAATCTAATAGATTTCTCTCATGGAAACCTTTGTAGACATGATTGCACATGTTTTCTCATTAGATTTGAAATAAGGATCATCTCATTTTCATTCTTTAAGCAATAAGACAAAGTAAAACATGGGATTTGTTGCATGGCTACTACCCTTTCACTGAGAAAGGAGTATCCATGATGTGGAATTCAGTGGCTCATGTTATTGGGATGCTATTTAGGAGGCAGAAAGTTTCTAATGATAGGCACAGTTGAAGAGCTTAGTCTATATTTTCTTAGCTCTATTTATTGACCTTGATTTAATGATTTTCCTGGAAGAAACAGAAAATTCCAACCCTATTTATGCTGGCTTCAGAATAGAAAAATAATTGAAATCTACCCTCAATTTATTTAACAAAGCAAAGGTAACCTAAATACCAAAATCCAATAAAGACATACCGAGACAAGAAAACTGCAAATCAAACTCAGAAGCATTTTAAAAGAATAAACCTGATGACTACCAGGGCTCCTTGGAGAGGCAGCTTCATGTGGACAAAGTGCTTGGGCTCTGAGTCAGCCTGCGAGGGTCCAAGCCACAACTGTATTTCTTTTGAGCACTGGGACCTTGGGTTTGCTATGTAACCTCACTGAACATCAGTTTCCTCCTTTGCAAAATGGGGATTATTAAAGAACCCACTTCCTAGGGCTTCTGTAAATATTGAGGGTAATTCGTGTATAGCTCTCACCATAGTACCTGTACATAGATAGGGCTTAGAGAGATATGTCCTATCTGACCAGCATCAAGGGCTGCTGTGCCATGTAGTCTGGACAATTAATTATCTTCAGTAGAAGTCTCCACTTTTACCACTTTACTGGGAAACCAGGATCTTTTACAGAGCCCTCTCTGACCTGGAATATAACAGCAAATAAGGAATTATAGGATCTCTATATGTTTTCTGTCAGCCATTCCTTTGCATATACACAGCCTTGTTTGCAGCATAAGAAATCTCTTTACCGTATTCCCTCTGCTACTCTCAGCTTGGCACTTGGACACCTGTGACACTGGGCCTCCCAGACTGCCACCTAGTATATTTACATTTGTTGGAAAGGTTGTCCCTTCACGTCTCTAGGAGTAGAGCTGCCCTGTGCATTTGTGCCTCTGGTTGTCCTGGCAGTCACTTGGGCATCTCTCTCTCTCTCTTGTGTGGTAAAGATACTTTAGGGGGCTTCAGGTCAGTGTTTTAGGTACCAGAAAAATGGGAGGTCCAGAAACTATAACCAAAGCCAGGATATTTGGCTGGATGAAAGTCTCTTTTCTCTTTTTGCCTGAATAACACAAGCATGTTGGTAGTGTTAGACCTGGCATGGCAGATAGTCCTTGTGGAGGAGTTAAAATTTTGGACCAGCAAGGGGTGTACATTAAGCTCACAACTGAGGGTTCCAGGCTGTGGTTTCCCAGAGAATCACTGGGGGACCATTGGAGTGAAGGAGGACTAACAGAGGGATGGGAGATTTTAATCAGTGCATTAGAGGAAGCGAAAAGAAGCAAAGTCAAAAGGAACAAACATCTAGAAAACACATCTGAACACACTTTCGGAGATGGATTTTCCACAAACAGAAGAACGTTCTATGCAGGTGTCACCACGAGCTCCAAAGGCCCACAACCAGAGCCCTGTCAGCCTGGAAACCGAAGGTCGTGCTCCATGGCTCTGACCGCTAGGTGGTGCCTCAGGCCCGCAGCTGGGAAAAGAGCAAGTCTTGGGAAAGAAGCAGCCCCCGGCCTCCCATTCAGGGTCCCCAGGGAACTGTGACGTGGAGGCTGGGCTCTAAGGCTGCTTAAAGGCAAGGGAGCCACGACTAGGCTCCAGGCATCTGTGTGCTCTGTGTGACAGCATTTAGGCTCCCGGAAGCGGTCCCAACCTGTGGATGTCAGGTGTCTAGGCTGAGCCAGTGTCCTGAGAGAAGGGCCCACGGGGTGCTGTGCAAAGAGAAGAGGCGCAAGGGAGAGCACTGGTAAATAGCCACGCTTTCTATTCACTTAAAATCACCTTGAAATGAATGCGAAATCCTTTCGCATGCCTAACCAACTTGTGGAAGAGAGCTACTTGAATATTTAAACATAGACCTAGACAAAATGTCAAATATTTGCATTTCAGTAAAAACTTATTATTGATAATGACCATGATAACAAAAATTGTTACTCTCTCCCTGGATATGCTGAGTTTGGAGGGCAAAGGAACTTTAGAATACAAATCGTGGGAGAGAAATTGGGGAACACAGGAGTGATCTTACTCTAGCTTTTAGTAAATTTAAATCGCTTGTTTCTTCATACTATGTTTATGTAGAACTTACAAAACTATCTGTTAATCAGACTCTGTGGACTTGCAAATGCAGAAGTCAGGGAAAATATTTATTGAGGGGAAAACAGCATTCTGTATGTCTCAAGTTTAACATCTATGTGTAACTAAATGTATGAATTGAAGACAGTAACTTTTTATTTGTGATTATATTCAGATTAATGAATCACATTGGTTACAATCTTAATTACAACTATGAAGACTGAATCCTAGTGAACAGTAACCAGAGCGGGGTGGAGAGGGATAATGGGGGAAAATAGAGGAAGGGCCATCAAGAAACACGCATAAAGGACACATGGACAAAGCCAAAGGGGGTAGGTTCGAGGGCGGGGGAGATGGGGATGGGTGAGGTGGGGGAAAAATGGATACAACTGTGTGAACAACAATAAAAATAAATAAATAAATAAATAAGAAATGTCAGGACCAATGTTAAGAAGACGTCTATCTTACTTGAAATATCAGACAGGCTACTTAGTAAGTATATGATTGTCTAACTACTATGCTGTATACCTGAAACTAATACAAATAATATTCGATGTAAATTGTTGTTGAAAAATTTAAAAAGATTATCCTGCCATCCTAGAAATTAATAACATAATTATTTGTATAAGCACGTTACTACCCTACCTACCCCCTAATACATGTGAAAAAGTAACTAATGTCAACAAGTCGTGACATTTAGATTTATTTTAGACATTAGATTATGAAAAAAAGAACACATCCATCTCTCTTAAGAGAATGTGCACCTGTATATCCTTCAGAAATCCAAGCTCACCTGAGGAAAATGAAGTGCAGTAGGAGTCTTAGGAATTGAAAATCCAGAGACTGGAAGGGAGTTTGTAGGTTGTGAATTGGGAACATTTTTGAGAGTGAACCAGGGTACCAGGACAAAAAGCATAAAAAGTGAAACTTTCTCAGGCACACTGAGATGTATGGTCACTTTATTAAGAGGTCTGTAATAGAGTGGGAGCCTAAAGAAGGGAGGACCAGAAGGCTGGTGAAAATTCTAAGCCTGCATGTTGGAGGGACACTATTCCAGGGATCTGGGTGCATTGTATTAATATATACAATTCTAATACTCAGCAAATGTTCTAGCCTGTTCATTCCCATTCTCAGGTTATGCTTCCTTCTGGAATGCTGTTGTGCTTCTTTGGTAAACTGTTAATCTTTCTGAATCATGAATAAAAACCTGTTTTGCAGGAAATTTGCTGTCACGAAAAGTAGCAATGAATTCCTCATTTCACCTGTATTTCTTGGATCTCAACCTGAATGCCACAGAGAGCAGTCTTTCGGGGCCAAATGTCAAGAACAAGTCTTCACCATGTGAAGATATGGGCATCGCTGTGGAGGTGTTTCTGACTTTGGGTCTCATCAGCCTTTTGGAGAACATCCTGGTCATAGGTGCCATAGTAAAAAACAAGAACTTGCACTCTCCCATGTATTTCTTTGTGTGCAGTTTAGCAGTAGCGGACATGCTGGTGAGCATGTCCAATGCCTGGGAGACCATCACTATGTACTTAATAAATAATAAGCACCTGGTGATAGCAGATGCCTTTGTGCGTCACATTGACAATGTATTTGACTCCATGATCTGCATTTCTGTAGTGGCTTCCATGTGCAGTTTGTTGGCCATTGCAGTGGATAGGTATGTCACTATATTCTATGCCTTGCGCTACCACCACATCATGACAGTGAAGCGTTCCGGGGTGATCATTGCATGCATCTGGACCTTTTGCACAGGATGTGGCATTGTTTTCATCATTTACTATGAATCCACTTATGTCATCATTTGCCTCATCTCCATGTTCTTCACGATGCTGTTTCTCATGGTGTCTCTGTATATACACATGTTCCTTCTGGTACGAACTCATGTCAAGCGGATAGCAGCTCTGCCTGGATATAGTTCTGTGTGGCAGAGGACCAGCATGAAAGGTGCCATCACTCTGACCATGCTGTTGGGCATTTTCATTGTGTGCTGGGCTCCGTTCTTCCTTCATCTCATTTTGATGATCTCTTGCCCTCAGAATCTTTACTGTTCCTGCTTTATGTCTCACTTCAATATGTATCTCATACTCATCATGTGCAATTCTGTGATTGATCCTCTGATATATGCCTTCCGTAGCCAAGAGATGAGGAAGACTTTTAAAGAGATTATTTGTTGCCATGGTTTCAGAGTACCCTGTACGTTCCCTAGCAGGTATTAAACAAAAGCACTCTCTGCAGCTTACTCTTTTCCTTCCTTGACCTTGTGATGAAGTCAGTTGGGGATAAGCAAGATAACTCAAAATCAAAACTGCATTACACTTACCTTTTTTTCTACCTTGAATTAGTACTTATAGTATACCATCCTGCGTGGCATGGGCCCAGCTCCCACTGGGAGATGCACAGGACCCATGCCCACAGATAGGTTCTCCTGTGGGGAATCAGGCCTGCAATGTACCTAGGCCGCTATGAGTCTTGCTTTTTGCTAAAACTCCCTCACCCTGAATTGAGGACATTTACTGCAAAGCAACTTCCTAAAAACCATGCTAAACCTTCCAAGGATGTGTATAACTGGTCCAATTACTTTTGATTTTTCATTTGCAAATATCCCTCTTCTGTGCTTTGATTAGCAGCATTGGCTCCTTTGTTTTCTGTAAAAGGTAACCACCTAAAGTGAGCTTGTGCATAGTTAATGAGGACCTTCTTGTAATGTGCCCAGTAAGACAATAAAAGCTCATTGGAGCAAGGGCTGAGGTCTTTGCTCCCCTTGAGAAAAAAGCCATGCTCTCCCTTTTTCTCCACCGGACTCAGTAGTCTGTGTGAATGTCTCATTTCATCCATAATGACGTGGACCCCACGAGCTGGGGCCCACATCAGTACTTAAAATGCATTCTTTTTTTTTTTTTTGTGGTAGTTGTTGGTTAGATGTGCATGTGCATCCTATCCATTTTGGGAAAGGTCTGTGGCAATTTATCATTGTTCTGTTTTTCTAATACTTTTCTTTTGCTCTCACCCATTTATGGGGTCCCCATCCATCTTCCATCTAGTAAGTGTGTGTTCAGGGAGAGTAAAACATTCTGGGTGCACATCTAAGCAGGATGAAGAGCTGACTGTAATGGAAAGAAAACTTGTGACTTTCTACATTATGTGTGATTGCTTTCTCTCCCCAGAAACTGTTCTGTAGCTTCACTTCATGTTCTTGGGACTTATGCATGCTTTTCAGGGCCAAACAGAGTAGTCAAATTCTTTTCATTTGAAATTTTCTTTTCATTTGTTATGGGACTTTCCTTTTCTGAACTTTTGTTTTTATGGCTTGTGCCCATAATTGTCCAAGGATGGAATTTTGTAAATTATACTTCTGTTGATCATATTTTTGCTCTTACCCAGATATAAAACTTTATGCTACAAACCTTACGTCATGTGGTGTGAAAGTTTCTGTGACTCTTCTTACTGTCTTATTCTGACTCAGTGTAAGGTTTCCAAATGAGTGTTTTGGAAACATGTCATGGGCTTCAAGTGCTCGCATGTTCCCAGTCCTGGACTCACCTCTCTCACTTATAGCACATTCCCATAGCCAAGCTGTTTTTGATCTTTTCAGACTGTGTCGGTCTTTGAGTCTAAAACCCTGCCTCTCTATATCTTGCACATCACAATGTGATTCCAGCAGCCAGAGAGGTTCAGGTGCACATCTCTGACATAGGGAATCCCATCTTCTGCAATATAGAACGGTGTTTGAAAATCTGAGTTCAGGTCCTGACTCTGTCATTAACAGGTGATGTTGCATTAATCATCTCATTTCAGGTTCTACATCTGTGCTGACCTCACAGGATGGTCATGAGAACTGAATATGAAAATGTGAGAACAACTTGAAAAGTAGTCAAGCACCAAAGGGATTGGATATTTATTTAAAAGAAATATTGCAGATGGGATAAACACTTGGGGATGGTGCAGAGAGTAGTGGTGAGAGCAGTAGTTTAGAAACTAGGAAGACTGCTTTGTCACAATACATCTGTGTATCTCTTGAAACATCTCTGACCTCTTGGTCCCATTATTTTTATATGAAATGAAGTGCTTGGTCTTTATAGCTCTTGTATTCCATTCTATTATTTTTGGTGTTAATGACTTCTCTTTTGTTTTGGCTATTCATTTTTATACTGTTCCCAGTGAAGGAAAAGTATAAATAAAGCAGTGGACTACTAGAGTCATTCAATGATGAGCTGTTGAAGACTTTTGGGGTAGAACAAATTCTTGGGAATAGAACATATAAATAACTTATAGATGTGACCCCTACCCCTGGCAACCCAGAGTTCAGGGAAAAAAAATGGTGCTGGCAAGGCAGGAAAGTGCATAAGACATCTAAATCTTTGGAAAATGACAAATTAGCAGGTAGTCAGCAAATGAGTTTTGAAGGGGCAGCTAGACTTTCAAATGTTTCTTGTTCCTTTTAGCAGAACATGCTGTGTGTATTTATGAATGGGAAGTAAGTGATCTCCAAAGTAATTACGATGAGAAACCATAGCTCCTGTTTACATGGGATGTCTCAGTTTCTGTGAAAGCCAGCCTCTCCACTGTCCTGTTCATAACTACTGCTTTGTTGCCTGCAGTAGTTTCTGACACAGAGCAGGCACTCAAATGATATTTGCTATTGTTACTAAATAAATGCATGCTTAATCTGCTAATAGCCCTGAGTTCTCAGTGATGTCACTAGGGTTCCAATCCTGTGCATAATCAAACTTTGGCCCTTGTGGTATACAATTGGCTCCATCTGGGAACTCACTAGGCTAACTTTCTGCCCTGGGTCCTTCCTGACTTCAGACGAGGTCTGACCTTTTCTATAAAGGTCTTTAAAGAAATGCTCAAATGTCTTTTAATTTCTATATAAATAGTGCAGAAATAACCCAAGTATTCAGATGTGTCTCCAGTTGGAAGGAATACATTGTGATATAGTGATTTGGTAAACATCTGTAAGTGAGCAAACCCCTCAACCCCAGCACAAAGTCCCCTAAACCAAAAATCCATATAACTGTCAAATACTATATGGTATAGTATATTAAGTCTTTCTGCTTCTGTAGGAACTTCATTTGGTATAACAATATGTGTTCAAAGACATGGTTAATAAAATGAAAGAACCAGGCCACCCATTTGAACTGGACATTATAATGTGCTATATTCAGAGTGTTTTTGATGTTTCTGACAATTTGTCAGCAACTGCTGCAAAATTAGAAGGTATATTCTTTGGTGAGTTATGATGAAATTTCCCTGACAGTATTTACTGCCTGAAACATGGCCATTTCTCAGTTCAAAATAATTTAATTCCTAAAAATAAAATAAAATTGTACACTTGACTATAAATTGCCTTAAAGTCTGTCTCAGTAAACAAGCAAGGATTTGGGGAATGCCACTGATCATGTACTCAGAATGGGGCTAGAAGTAGTGATCATTAGATAGTCTCTGCCATCAAAGAGCCTATGGAACAAATTATTTCAAGACATGAATATTTTAAGATATGTGGAAACACTATCCACAATTCAAGGTGCTACACATAAATGTGAATTTATGAGGCACAGACTATACCTGTTGTAAAATGAGGGCTATGATAGCTCCCATGTCTGTAATGGCAATTTTCTCTGGTGCATACAGGGTACATATTAGAGTTTTGGGGTGAAATTGTAACTTTGAAAAATTCCCCAGATCATCTCTACATCAGGTTCAGATGTGGCTCTTATTGAGTTAGAGATCAAAAAACTAAAAGAACAACTTATCTGATACCTTTCCTCAAGCTAATAAGTGATGGTGAAACTGGGGACCCACAGACACTTCCATCCAAGCACAGGAAGAGTAGGAGACATGGTATTACACCTCCAGATCTCAACACCACCCTGTGGCTTGTGCTACCATGTTGGATAGTGTGGATCTATACTTATTTCCTAGGCATGCTATATGTTTCTCCTTTTTGCACCTATGACTTTATCTCACTTTTATCCTAATTATGTATGCTTTGAGTCTATCAGGCTGTAGGGGAGAGTCATGCTTTTAGTTTCTTTTACCTGAGCCCTTATGTCCAATTGAAAGGATTAATTAAATCCTTTTGATACATCCTTCTTAACATTTATACTGAGGCAGCTTCCTTAATCTATTCAGAGCATTTGCAGTGATGGTGTAAGCTGTTCCCTTAATTTGATCCTAGTGCCAAATCTAAGTTTTAATTGGCTTATGTTATTCTACTTTTTAAATTTAATCTTTTACTGCCCTGAGCAGTGTGGCTCAGTTGGTTGGTCATTGTCCTGCAAAGCAAAAGGTTATTGGTTCAATTCCCAGTCAGGACACATGCCTGGATTGTGGGTTTGGTCCCAGTCAGGGCTAGGTGGCAAACACAAGGCCCGTGGGCCGAATCTGGCCCTCCACCTTGTTTTGTCTGGCTCAGCACCTTGTTTCTACATGGCAGCAGTGCCAAGTTCCTTGCCCCTAGTTAAGGAGTAGTTACATTTATACAGTCCTGAAATTACATTCAACCCTTTTAAGGCAACAGTGAGGCTGATGTGGCCCCCGTGAAAATGAGTTTAACACCCCTGTACTAGAGGCAACAGACAAATGTTTCTCTCCCTGTCTTCTTCCTTCCTTTCCCATCTCTAAAAATAAATAAATAAAATCTTTCAAAACAATTTAATCTTTTATTTATTTGATTGAGAAGAGCTGTCTCTTCTCACTCTGAATCTTCTAACTCTGAAGTTCCTGACTCTGGATTTTCTTGAGAAAAATTTTTCATAAATCTGGTTTCAAATGTATCATTAAAGAATCCCATTTGCTTATTAAAGTGTGGTAAAATACATGTAACATAAATTTACCATCTTAACAATTTATAAGTTTACAGTTCAGTGACATTAAGTGCATTCATATAATTGTCCTACCATCTTGAATCCCTTTTATTCCTGCTGGCATTCACTTAATTCTTTCTTTCTTAGCTTATCACCTCCTTGTAGTACTTCATTAAATGCAGCCAACCGTAACCAACACACCTGTTTTCAGACCTTTCCCTGTGTCATTATGTATAATATACATCAGTCAGACTCTCTGTTCTTTGACTGATCCTTCCCTGTTCTTTCTGCACCCATTTTAGATTCCGATCCAGCACTTTGTAGTAACAATTACTGTACTTGTTAGGATAGTCTAGGACAGTGTTTCTCAAACTTTAATAGCTGTATGAAACATGAGGGAAGCTTGT